GTAGAATCCAGGATCAGACAGGACAAACAGAGCAGACAGGGGCAAGGCAAAAACTCAAAATCCTCAGGGCAGAAACTGGTCAATATCAGGAAAACAGGCAGACTACAGATTGCTAGGGAACATATCACAAAAACACAAGAATAACCTGGCCCTGATGGGAGGCAAACACACAACTTAAATAGTAGAGGAACCAGGTGAAAATAATTGGCGATAATCAGCCGCAGAACCAATTAGACAGGAAAGCAAGGAGCAAAGGAAAAACCCAAACCATCAGCGCCAAGATCATGACAGTTCCTTTTTTAAGATGAATTGAATTTAATAAATAATATCTTCAATAAGGTTATTTGAAAACATAAATAAGAAGAAAGAAGCAGCTCTTCGTAATTGAAACAGGTAGATCATTATGTTATTTTAAGTCATGATTTCTGCTCATTCCGGCATTGATTTGGCGTGGAGTGGTGGACAATATTTTAATATGCACGTTTTTCAGACATGGTCGCCAACTGAAAGCAATGAAAACACTTTTACATGACATTGTTTATACACTTTCTGTCAGGCCTGGATTATTAATGTTTGTAAAAATGTGGCTCAAAATAAAATAACTAATTGGAGCTTCTTGAAATGCAACAACAATACACAGATTAAACCGTTGTGTCTTTAACTGCATAGATTTATGTTTTATGGCACTGACATAACAAGAACAGCATGAAAGATTGCACCTGGAAAAGCACCGCGCAGGTGTAACTATTAGCATTACTGATGCCTCTGCTCTATTATGGCTCCCATTGTACTGAGGTGTCTTCCACAATAGATCTGGCTCATATGAACTGGTATACAGCAGCTATTAAGATTAATTACACATTCCCCTATAGTACCATTGTGGCATTATAAGAAACAGTTATGATAAGTAAAAATAAACAGAATTTAATTCACTTTGAACAGTAAATTGAGGGTCTTGGGATGCTATTCAACTTTTACCAAGGATTTCTAACAAAAGACTTGCGCCACAATCAATAACAAAAAAAAATAGAATAGAGGGTGGATGGATTGTTTCCCTGAATAGGAAATACAGATTTATATTTATGAAACGTTTATCAAAGGAAGGAGCATTAATGAACTGACCTACAGGGTTCAAGGTTCAAGACTCACGGATGCTCTTCTGCAGGGAAAGCAGATGAGTACATCATATAATCTCTTGAATAAATTTGTACTTGTTATTATAACACACAGATTATTGCAGTTTATTGTGCATAGCCCTACATAGTCTTATTCTAATGCCATGTTTTAGTTCTGTTCAAGTTTTATTTCTGAATTTTCATTTTTCTTATTTCCATTTTTGTGTTCTAGTAATTTTTGGACCCCATTTTGGGTCCTGTCAAACCTCCACCCCACAGTGGGGTTTAACAGGACCCAAATGCAGACACAAAAGCTGAAGGTGGTTTCTTGCAAGATTTAATTAACCAAAAAGGGTAACAGAAGCATAAATCCAAAAACATAAATCCACAAAAGCCCAAACTACTGAAAACTCACAACAAGGGGGCAAAGAAATGACGACAAACCAGCCAAGAGAGACTGAACAGGAGAATATATGGGACAAAGAAACAAAGACCAGGCTAATTAGCAGATTGGGAGCAGGTGTGAACAGAGGCAAGAAAGGAGCTAGGGAAAAGGAGACTGACACAGGAGGGTAAACAACAAATGTCTAAGAACTAAAATACAATCAAAAATAACTAGAACACAAAAATAGAAATAAGACCAATGAAAGCTCAGAGATAAAAGCTGAACAGAACCAAAACCATGACAGCGGCAGTGTGAAGGCCTGGCTGTGCCCTTCTGGGAAACCTTGGATCCTAATATCCCTGCAGATGTTACAGTAACATGTAACAGATATGGTTTTGCAACAGTTTGGAAATGACAGCCATATGTTTTTGACTTGCTGTCCAATAATTGATGCAAGTTTAATATCTGTTAGGTGTGCTGAGAAAACCATTCAGATTTTTGTATGAGCACCAAGAAGCAGGACTGATGAAAAAAAACACGAAAAAGAGAAGTAAGATTAAACCAAAATTAGGGAAATTTCATGATGTTTGGCCTGATAGGTGCATATTAGGCAACTTAACAGTAGTTATTCTGTTTTAAAAGTAAGAAATTGTTTAGAGAAATGTTCCTATATTAGAATGAACACGGACAAAGGCGCAGCAGACCCTAACCTTCAAGGAACTGTGGACAATTTGTTTGGGGTTTTTTGTTCTCCATTAAATGTAACTGCCAATGTAATTAGGTTGTTTAACCAGCCAATCTATTATCTCTTTGTGTGTCTCCCTCTTTTTTCTACCTTATAGAGTCTTTAGAGTTCAGCATGTGATTGGCTGTGTGCTTTTATGCCTTCTCCTGCTTTGTTCCCCCGTCTGTGTCTTCAGGATCCGTCAGCATAAATCCTGCTCTTCATTTCTTTAGTCTTTAATGTATTCAACTTTAATCAGGATCACCTGTAACAGAGTATATTCAGTTTTCCTCTGCTTTGGAGATAAGATTTTATACTTTTCACCTCTCTGAGTTATTGGATACCGTTAATGGCGATATGAAAGATGGAAGGATAGAAGACCGGGCTGGGTCTTAATCTAATCCCATCACTGACATAGATGTCACAATGTGCCATTAGTACATCATGGGATGGTTCATGATAGCCTTAAGCAATCGTTCTTGACACATCACCATCATCTCACAGCCTATGCCAAGTAGCCTCTTTGCTACAACGCTTTAGAAGCACGTTTTTCTGTGCTGACAGCTCTCTGCGTAACACCTTACAGTTACTGATTCATTCACAGGGGATTATGATTGCAGTGATTATAGCTGAAGGGAAGAAATTATTATTGAAAGTGAGGGAAGGAGCTTGCTCACCCACTCATTTGGCTGGCCAATATTTTTGGCCAGTGTAAACATTTTTTCTTGTTTCGGGATCGCCTGATAAATGCAAGCATTGGCCGATTCATTAGTGCATCTAGCAGCCAGACCTTGAGATCAGAGCAATTTGAACGCATCGCCACTCCCTCCATCCGTTAACATGTGGATC